AGGAAGAACCAAATAGAGGGATGCTTTTGGAATCCCTTGTCAAGAAACTCCAATGGTCACTCACGTGAACTCTCATATCAAAATTGCCCTGTTCTGACTCTTTGCTGGTTCCCTGTCTAGGACTTGTAAAGTTATTTACTCTTGCCTTTACTTCTCCTTCTCCTTCGCATCTCCCATTCATGATTCAAGGACTTTCTTTTCCCCTTAGAGAAAAGAATTATGCAATTTGGGGGTCTTTTAGATAGACTCACTGAAGGGGTATTCCAATTGCCTCACTCTGCATCCCTGTTCAGCATGGAATTTGCCAGAGTAGTCTGTGTCCCTATTTCCTATTGGCAATTTGGGTAACCCCTTCAGAGGATGGTGTGATAAGAATAGGAGGTAGGAATTGCCTAGGTACTTAGGGTAAAAAGACCCTAAAGAAATGTAGCCAGTTTCTTGGCTGAAGGTCAAAATGTCCTTGGGTCTGTTAACAACATGCTCTGTTCCAAAGGCCAAAAATTTCAAAAGTATTTGGGAGGTTGTATCTAATCTTTAAAAGATTTTAGGGTTACCTCTTCAGAGGGAGGAATGTTGGAGGGGAGGGAGTTGGCATGGATTTATGGATTTGATCAAGACACCTTTATACATGTATGAAATTCTCAATAAAGTTAAAAGAAAAAGAAAGAAAATATAGTGGAGTGTGCATGACCTGGTGCTGCATTACAACATAGGAGAACTCCGAGTTCTAGAATAGCCTGTGCTATACAGCAATACCTAGCAGCAGTCAATGAAAAACATAAAGGAGACAATGTAGCTTAATGTCCTTTGGGGCTGGAGGAAAAAATCTACCCCTTCCTCCCTTAGTCCCAAGGATAATCTGAAGTATGATTTCATCAACTAGAGTCTGGGAAAAAACTGAGTTGATTGAGCTTACTTACAGAGTAATGGGTAAAGGTTTACTTACAGAAATGTGGATACTTCCAACCTAAGGCAGTTGTGGAAAGTCTTCAAATAAGCATGGATGGTGGCTCCTCCATAGCCACATAAATCGGCTAGAGAGCCTTCCCTAGACTTCTGCAGACTACAAAACCTTAGTCACTCCCAAGGCCACATGCATCAAGGGACAACTGGTTGGTTGGTAGGTATGGTTATACTCTCAGAGTAGGGATCTACGATTCTCCCTGCTTATCCTTTCCATGCTGGGGCATGAGCAATTAACAGACTCTGCTTTGAGGACTTCAAGTGAGCATGTGCCACCGAGCTTGGAAAGATGGATTATATTAGAGGACAGTCCCATATTTGTTGAGGCTTATTTTGTGCCCCAGTATTTGGTCGATTTTGGAGAAAGTTCCATGGGATGCTGAATAGAAAGCATATTCTTTGATGCTTGGGTAGAATATTTGAAAGATATCTGTTAGGTCCATTTGATGTACTGTACTGTTTAATTCAAATGTCTTGCTGTTAATTCTCTGTCCTGTTGACCTATCTAATGGAGGCATGAGGTAGTGAAGTCCCCTACTATTAGTGAGTTGGGATTAAAATGGGTCTTAAATTCCTATAGTACTGTTTTTATGAAATTGGGTGCACCAGAGTTTGGTGAATATATATTCAGGATTGTAATATCTTCCAGGTCAATTTTTCCTTTGATCAGAATGAAGTGGCCCTCTTTATCTCCTTGGATTAGTTTTAGTTTGAAGTCTATTTTGTCAAATACTAGAATTGCTCTTTCTTAGTACCATTTGCTTGGTATATTTTTTCCATCCTTTCACCTTGTAGCCCGAAAATGATTTATTCTTCCCAGACTACCTCTGAAGAGCCATGAGTGAATACAGGGCACCCTGGGAAGAAGGGTGGAGACTAGCATGGAGGGAGGTTGGAACAAAAAGAGGAGGAATTGGCACCATTCTAGGAAGCAGGGAACAGGGAGCAGGCAAGCCAGTCTGCCCTGGACCACGTGGGGCACTGGGGGAACCCATAGATGCCTCACTGAACTCTGTGGAGTGACTGGGCATGCAAGGACATTAGATGAGGCAGACCATGGGCAAAAGTGATCTGGAACAGCTGGCTGAGCCATGGGGAGCTCTGTGAAAGTTTTGGGGTGTTCTTTTCTTTGTAAGTCACTTCTGTCCCCCTCCAAAGGTATAAACTATGCAAAAATCAGATTACCGTGTGTTTTGTGGTTTGTCTACCCACTTCAGGAGCAAGGCACCTTAAGAAAACTCAGGCACCAAATTGGTGCAGACATCAGGGTAGCACTGAAAATGATAAACCATGGGAGTTTGGGGAAAGCAAGGGGGCTAATGGTGGTGCTGACATGGATCTTACAATGGATTATAAAATATGTAACTAAAAAGGGGCACAGAGAAGCATGAGCCACAGCTGTGTTGTAAATCTTGGGAAATAGCTCTGTTGTGGTTATATGAAAATTTGTTAAATATTATAGAAAGGCTAGAAAAACTTTTAGAATCCTGGAACACAAGCAGAGATTCCCGAGAGGGGTTGTGGCCACTTTGCATAGTAAAAGACTTTCCCAAGGCAGGGGAAGCTGAAAAGGTTAGAGAAGCAAATTCAGGTGCAGAACTTGAGAGAAGAAAAAAAAAAAAAAAATCAGGACATTTTCACTTGTGTAAAGTCCAAGTACTCCAGAAAAAAGACAGCTAATAATGAAAAAGGAAACGACCTAAAAATGAAAGTGGATAAGGCTGCCCCATAGATTCAACATTTGATACAGAAAAGAAAGGAAAGGAAGCTAGCAGTACTGTAGTTAGGAAATACTCTACACTGGAACCATTAAAACTAGGAAAAGCAAACAATCAAAGAGGCACTCACCACATGGCTCATGAGTGTATGGGACATGGGAGCAAATAAAGTCAATCTAAATCCTTCAGAAGCTTCACAGCTGAATTATATAACCACTCATCCATCCTTGCGATATAGACTGTTCAACCTAGGCCAATGAAGGGTGAACAGTCCTTAATGGGATGGTTGATGGATGGCATTAAAAATACATGGTCATCTCCAAGGGAAAATCCCATGGTTGACAGAGGCTGGATGACTATAAAGGAGGGACAGGCATTACAGAGAGAACTAGGTATGAGAAAAGAAATATATGATACCCAGTTCACTAGGCCAGATAAGACTGCGTTCACCAAAGATATGATATAAAGGAAAGCTTAATTCAAGTGGGACCTTGAAAATGCTATGGAGCTTTAAGGGTTTTGCTAAGCCCTTTAATGAAACAGGATTTTTGTAAAGTGACAGAGGCTTTAGCAGATCTAAATGATTCTGACCAGCATGTAAAACATGTCTGAGGAATAACAGAACACCATACAAGAGATACAAAAAAGACCAGACAGAAAAAAACGGCCTGTTTGGGTTACTTGAAGACAAATGTGGCAAGACTCATGTCAAGCTCAAGTTCCCAGAGAAAAAAATTGATAGAAAATCAAATTTGGTACTAAGGGGTTTCTTAAAGGCTTTAAAACCAGAAGAACAGTTTCAAAAGGCATTCAAATGATAAAAATTGTCTCAGGAATGGTTAAGAATCCTGAAAGATTAACTAAGTTGTATGCCTCTCTTGATAAAGGCTATACTAGGTATGGAGGCAGCTTTTCCAAACAAGGACTCCCCCAAGAAGGTAGGTATGGTCAATGGAGAGATGACAGATTTGGCTACAGTCAGGAGGCAGACCCAGGGCTGTCCAGACTCAGGGAACCAACAGGTACAACAGAAACAGGAAAAACCCCCTGCCTCCTTAGCCCAGTGCAGGATCAGGCAACTGGAGCCAACATCTGTAAGTGTATCAAGGATAAAAGAATACAACGAGACTCCATATAAAATCCCCAAAATGCAAAATGACTCTAAAGGGGTAACTAAATATAGCCAACCAATTTAGTACTTCGTACCCATGATATGGCACCTAACGAAGATCTATGGAGAAAAAAGCTAATACAAATGGATAAAACCTTCCCATGTTGTGTTAGACATTGTCTATTGTTGACTTAAATATGAGGTTAACCTTCCTTCCAGTGTTTTACAGATGTGAAACCCATTTGAAAGATATCTGAAAAGACAAATGCCAGCTATAGCTGTAAGATTCTTGGGAGTTTTATGGTTGGGTAAGATAAAAACAGAGTATCCCAAACTATAAAACTGTTAAGGAAATTTACAGTACCAGGGGTGGTTTGCCCCCCTATGAGCTGTTGTTCAGAGAGAGATCTTAGAGGTCCTCAAATTCACCAAGGCTATTGCCATTAAAGCTAGTTGAACACTAAAAAGTTCAACAAGGCCATGTTCCTAAAGAGACTGCATGATGTGAGCATGGGAGGAAAAAAAAAAAGATGGAGCTGAGACTAAGCCAAAAACTCCATGCCACTGGATGGATGAGGTTAATAGTACCAGAAGGTGCTATGGGGAAGAAATGATCCCCTATGATTCTACTCAACAATAGACCCCACGTGCTGGGGCATGTACACTATGGACATGCCAAGCAATGCCTGCAAGGGCAATAATGGCTCAACCAACATACGTATAACTGACAAACTTCTAATTGGATAAGACCCGCTCCTAGGGGTGGAACACACATCTGGTGCTGTAGACCAGTCCAACCCCTGTGTCAAGAAAGGATACAGGCCCAAGCGGGGAAGCCATTACAGTATACTGTTTAATGAATATAGTACACCTACTGGGATATCCTCTAAGCATTTGTACTTATATTTATGTTTGTTTAGATGTGTCTTCTTCCTTCCATTTGTCTTTATAGTAGAAGAAACACTACTGAGATAGACCAATGGCTATGGCTTGAAGATGAGTAATGGTTAGGCCCAAGGAGACACTATTTCACCATTACACAGGAGAGATCGTCCTACATCTATCACCTCCTCCAAGGCTCAGGGACCTTAGCGGAAGATTGGTCGAAAGATTGTAAGAGCCAGAGGAAGGGGTGGAGTGTGCCCCGAGAGGGTACTTGTTCCTCCGAGAGGTGGAGCCTGAGGAGAATTGGCTGAGGAGAGTAAGCTATGGAGAGGGAACTTCAGAGAGTTAGCTGTGGAGGGAGGAACGTTGGCATCACCTTGGCAGTGGCAGCATGGAAAACAATGGCTCTGGTGTCTCACCTGTGTGATGCGAGAGGGGACATTTACCGAGCTGGGAAGAGACCTCCGGTGAAAGCTAATGGAGACTGTGGGCAGGGCATTGAAGTGATCTGGAACAGTAGGCCACTGAGCCATAGAGCGGAATGGGGTGCTGGGAGTTAGGCTTTGTAAGTTACTCTATTTCCCCTATCCAGGATATAAACTGAAAAATTCAGATAAAGATTCAGATATGGTTTGTCTAATAGCACCTAAGAGAGCTTGGACAACACCAACTTAATCATGATTAATAATTTTTTGATATGCTCTTACATTCAGTTTGTATTTAATTTTTGTGGGAGTTCAGTCCATTGATATTTAAAGTTGTTAATGAAAGATGTGTATTGATTCCTGCCTTTTTGATTTCTGTTCACATTCTTGGTGTAGCTGTATATTTCCACAGTTATACCTTCATTAAGTGTCTTCCTGTTATCCCTTGGGTACAGTCATTCCTTTCTTCAGCTCTTTATATTGTTACAAGAACTCTCTGAAAGGCTGGTTTTCTGGACATGAATTCTTTCAGCCTAATTATGTCACAGAAGATTTTTCTTTCCCCTTCGACTATAATAGACATTTTGGCTGGGTAAAGTAATCTGGGTTGGCATCTATTGTCATTGAGAACTGGGAATACTTTTGTCCATGTTCTTCTGGCTTTCATAGTTTGCACTGAAAAGTCAGCTGTAATTTTGATAGATTTTCCTTTATATGTGACTTGCTATTTTTCTTTTGTTGTCTTCAATATTCTCTTTGTTGTGTATGTTTAGTATTTTTATTATGACATGCTGGGGAGAGTTTCTTTTCTGATCCTGTCTATTTGGTGTTCTGTGGGCTTCTTGTATTTGTGTGGGCATGTCTTTTTTAAATTTTGGGAAATTTCCTTCTACAATCCTGTTGAAGAGATGGTCCATGCCATTATCCTAAGACTCTGCTCCTTCCTCTATGCCTATGATACATAAGTTTTATCTTTTTATGGTGTCACATAATTCCTTCATATTCCAATCTTCTGTTTTCTTAAATTTTTCATAATGTTTGCTTGAGTGGTCTAATTTGTCCACTTTATCTTCCAGTCTTGATATTCTGTTTTCTATTTCATTAATCTTATTGGGGAGGCTTTCACCTGTCATTTCTAATTGGCTTATTTAATGTTTCACTTCTTTTTTCATTTCAGCCTGAGTATTGTTCAATATTTCTAACTCTTTTCTGTATTCATTCAGAAGTTTATCCCTCTCTTCTTTCAATTCTTTGATTTCTTTTTGTGTTCTCTGATGAGACAAAAATAATATACACATAATCTTAAAACTTCTAAGGTCATAGTTTGGTCAAATAGTTGAAGGAAAAAAATATGTGTCTAATCAAGGTTTATCTGAGCATGTTTGGTTTTTGCCCAAGCTTTCAAAGTAACATACTGGTGGAACTAACCTTCTTGAATATTTAACAGCCATACTTTGAAACCTATACTAATCTGGTCAGAGGGACTTAAAGGATAGGTTTAGCTTCTTGCCCTCCAGGGTCAACTAAGTTCCAGTAGACTCTGGAGAATCTCTCTAAACATCCTGTAACTGTGGTGAGGCACCTGTCCTCCTGTTCAGGGAAGCCATGGAGACCCCACCAGATGGCCTTGAACCAATATCCAGTCTACAAAGAGGAAGGTCAACTCAGAAGAAATATTTCCTCCAAGCTTCCAAGTAGAGCCAGCCAGGTTCGAGCAGGACATTTGCTTATCTTCTCATAGATGGAACTGGTAAATTCAATGAATTCTTTTATCATGTTTATAATTGTTCTTTTGAATTCCATTTCCTGTGTTATCTCTAGAGGGTTCTCTTTATACTCCTCTACAGGACTGATGGTACTTGGTGGGATATATTATTTGGGTTTTCATGTTATTTTTTCATCATGAGTTTGAAATGTAGATTTCTTTTGAAGTTTCTAATTCTTGTGTTAGACTCAAGCCTTCCTTTGTTGAGTTTCGGTCTGGTTCTGTTTGTAATCTTTATGTACCTTTGTGGTTTACTTATTGGGCATGAAAAACTGGTTATTCCAAGATTCGGGTTCTCTCTTTTGATTTTATATTGTGAAGGCCAGATGGCTTTCATCCTACTGCTCAAGAATTATCACAGAGGCCCAAGTTGGATGAGGATCAGATGATCCCAGGCTTTCTCCTAAGGTTTGGTTCCCTCTAGTCATCAGGCACTGTACAATTTTGGAGGATTGCTAGGTAGAGGTAGGATTCCAGACTCTCAGGCAGTCAGGGAAGGGGCCTGGTCTCAGGAATCCAGAGCAAGCAGGGAAGGAGGCTGGTCTCAGGAATCTAAGTTGGGGGTGGGACAGCCAGGCATGAAGGCTGATCTCAGGTATGCAAAGGCATGGTGGGAGAGGGAACAGGGTTTGAGGGCTCCAGGGAACTAGACTGAGGAATTGGATTAGTCTGGGTGCAAAGGATCAGGAAGCAGTGTGGAGTCTGGACCAAAGGGGTAGTCCTGAGGTCTGGGGTACCAAGAGAAGAAATGGACCAGTGCCCTTTGTAGGAGGAGTGAAAGGGTGGGGGAGCTGGGAAGGTGAATGAGGTTGTGAGAGTCAAGGTGAAGTGTGCATGGTCAAACTTAGGAAAGATGCTGGCCTCAGGAAGTTGGGAGTTGGGCTGTCCAGTCATGAAGGCTGGTCTCAGGTATGCAAAAGCGAGGTGCAGGAGTGAACAGACTTTAAGGGCACCAGGCGACTAGACTGAGGAATTGGGTTGGTCTGCATGCAAAGGATTAGAGAACGTCCTTATTTTTAAAGACTCAGAAAGGCCAGTGAGATAGCGTATCAGGTGAAGGTGCTTGCTGTGCAAAGCTGGCAACATGGGTTGTATAGTATAAATATACATGAATATATACATATACACACACATATATATACATATTTGCATATATATAATCCTCAGTGCATAAATACTATAATTATGTTAAATGGTATTTTAAAAAATATTTTATTTTATTTTTTTGTGAGTTTCTTTTATGATTACATTATTTTCACACATCCTTCTACATCTTCCAACACATTCCATGTGCTTTCCTTTTTCTTGTCCTCTTCTTTGACTATTATTACTGAGTCCATTTAGTGGTGCTCCTGCATACATGTGTGTAGTGTTCACTATTTGGGACTAGATAACCCATCAAGGAACAGATTCCTAAAGAAAACTCTTTCTCCTCCCTAAGCATCTGTTAATTTCCTATAGATCTTTGACTAGAGTTATGACCCTATGTCATTTCCCCATCCATAGTAACCTGTCACCTGTTTTTTTTTTTTATTGTACAGATCTTTTTAAGCAACCATACTATGGAGGTTTCATGAGTGCAGCTTCCCTATCAAATCTAAAATATATTATCTAGCAGAAGGCTTCTTTTCCTTTGGCTCATACAGTTCTATCAGTCCCTGTTCCAGAATGTACCCTAAATCTTAAATGTAGGAGTTGTAGAAGGATACTTATTTTGAATATAGTAAGAAATAACATTCATGTAGGAAACAGCAACAGGACATATTTCTCTACGGTCAATAGCGTTTTCAATCACGTGTACTTGATTATGCTTAGTTTACCATGCATGGAGTTCCTTCTGTTGAACTGTCTTTAAGTTAAATTAGATTGCTGTTGATTACCCCTAAGAAAATAGTCTCACACAATTACAGCATTAGATTTATTTTCTTAGCCAGTCAGCAAACGGTAAGACCATCAATTACTTTTCTCCCTCTGCAGCTTGTATGACCCCTGCCAATACTGAGATCTAGTTTTCAGGGAGGTGGTTTTCAGGAGAATTCCCCCTCAATTTGTCCAAATTTTATGTATACAGTTCCAGATTTTCTTAAAATGTTATCTACAGTTTGCACAAGATCCATCCCTTCCATTCACAGGCATTAGCCAATTAAAAATAAAATAAAAGGCATAGAAAATCTTGTGCATAAATATTCTTGACAACTTATTTTGCAATAGCCACAACATTGGGCAAGCAGCAAAGTGCTGCCCATAGATTTAATAGCTAAAATAGTGCACCAAATAGAATAAAACACTGCTTGCTAATAAAAAAGAACATGTACCTTGGATGAATTTCAAAGCAGTTATACTGAGTAACATAAGCCAGATTTTTTTTAATTTAATTGGTCTTCTGTATATTCAGGTTTCATATTTATGGATTACATCAATCTCAGATCAGAAATATTCAGGGGGAAAACAGTATATTGAATATGCACAGTCTTTTGGCCTTATCACTACTCTGCAACATTATAGTATTTAATTATTTTCATGCAATTTACTTTTTTTTGAGACAGGGTCTCCCTGTAACCCTAGCTGGCCTGGAACTCAAAGAGGCCAAACTGACCAGGAACTCAAAGAGATCCACCTGCCTCTATCTCCAGAGTGCTGGGATTAAAGGCCTATCCCAATCACACCTGGCTATATCGCTTTAAATATTATAAATAACCTAGATTGTTTAAGTGTAAATTAAACATAGAGTTAAGCTGGGGACATGATATGCTAATAGTATGACATCTTACATACAAAACCTGTGAATCTGTTCCCTTGAATATGCAGGAGTCCTGGTATCAGTCCTCCATAGATACCAAGGGAAGACTATGCATGTAATTATTTGAAAGTAAAGAAATTCATAATGATATGGAGGGTATCATATCTGGCCTGGGATAGATGAGGAGACAGACTAGAAAAAATGATGATAAAGCAGTGTGAGACAATTAGCTTGGTTGTATAAAAAGTTTTAAGGATATGACCATGAGTGAGTGAGCAAAGTATGGATATATGTGGGAGATAGACTTGAGCCTAGGGTGATATTGCAACTGTCAGGGTCACATGGTTTCCAGGAATCCAGGCTCTGTAATCTGAAACCCAATGTGCTAATGAGGCATCCTACCCTCTATTCTGTGATAGGACGTTAAGTCTGTTATGCTAATGGGATGCTAAGTCTGTTATGCTAATAAGGTATCCTACTTGCTGTACTGTGATAGGATGCTAAACCTGTTATGCTAATGAGGTATCCTACTTGCTGTGCTGTGATTGGACCACTACCCCAAAATAAGCTTGTGCCTTCCTGGAATAAAGCAGACCTGTGTCACTGAACCTGGTCTTCTGTGTCTGAATGCAGCTCCGCTGACACAGTCTCCTCAACAGCACTGGGGTCTGGGACAGGGCAGAAGCAGTGACAATAGGAGGCAGCACAGGGCAAGCAGAAGAGCTGCCTCAGCACTAGGTGAGCAGAAAAGCAGCCTCAGCCCAGGTCGATCAGGGGAGCAGCCTCAACGCCCATGAGAACAAAGGAGCGGCACCCACGAGAACAGAAGAGCGACTGCCACTGGTGGTGACTGCAGCTGGAGCTCAACATGGGGCTCAAAAAGCCCGACCCCACGAGGCTGTAACATTTGGGAACACTTTGGGCTCCCAATGCCCTCTTTGCCAGTGATTCTTCTGTGGGCACTCGCCGCTTTCATTCTTCTGGCTCGCTGTCTTTGGTTTGGCGTACCACTCCTGTCTTCACCAATCATCTCCTTGAATGGTTCCTGAGTCCTTCTGGGTACGTCTTGCAGGGTGAGTGACCTCCAGTATGGGGAATAGTTATCCAGCTGCTCCCAGCTCCCATGCTGCTGCACTGATTTCTCTCCTCAGGAGTAGGCAAATTAGGGTAACAGAGAAAAAAGTAACTAAGGTATTAGTTGAAGTGCTAGCTGTTGCTCCTTGATTTACAGATTCCTGCTGTTGGGATCGGAGCAATGGGCTCATGTTCTATTCATGGCCAGAAAGAGAGAAGTCAGGGAGAGGCGTCCATTATCTGGGCTGTTCTACCCCACTGTGACTGACATTCTGGCCTCACTTTGGGAAGTTCCCTCTGATTCCCCTGAGCAGAATAATCTCATACTAAATAACATAGATAAACAAATAAAGCAACAGGATAGTGGGGCCGGCTAGTCCCAGGCATTTCCAGTCAAAAACAAACTAACTGATTTCTCTTCTGATGCGGAAATGATGACTGCCGATAATGAGGTAAAAAATGATGAACTAGGGTCTAAGGGTCCTCTGGTGAAAACAAGATCGCCCCTGCCCAGCCATTACAGGGTGGTGGTTACCCTCCACCATCTTGTATTGGCTTTGATGAAAAACAGGAAGTTAAGGCAGTCTCCGCTCTGCCATTACAGGGTGATGGCTACTTTCCTTCATCTTGTACTAGCTCTGAGGAAGTTTCCCCCCAGTCCATCTACCTCTCCCTTCCAGAGGAGGACTGGAAGACCCTCCCACCTAGATCCCTCTGCTATGATGCAATGGGTGATTTTCTACAGTTTTTCCCAGTTACAGTCAATCAGGGACTACAGAACCCTTATGTCTGGAATCCATATTCTCATGATAGTTTAAAAAAGCTGCGTAAGGCAGCCATTGAGGATGGCATTCATTCCCCTTGGTTTGGTCAGCTATTAGATACAATCATCCACGTAGCCAACACCGCCTATGACTGGCAGGATATTGCTTGTGCCTGTCTACAGGGAGGTGATTTTCTCTTATGGAAGGCTGCTTATCAGGATGAATGTGAACAACAGGCAGAGCCTAATAGAAATGCCAATGTCCAGAACATTGGGTTTGATGCCTTGGTAGGGTGTGGCACTTTTGAGACCCCACGAGCCCAGTGAACTCCTTGCTACTTTGAACAAGTGTGGCTTTGCACACTCCATGCTTTGCAAAGTATGCCGACTCGTGATGATACCAAATTAACCAGATTGATACAAAAATCAGGTGAGCCTTTCTCTGACTTCATTGAAAGGTGCCAACAAAGTGTTAATAAAAACATCAGCCATCGGGGGGCCACAGATGCTTTGCTCAAGGATCTTGAATATGAAGGCTGCTCTACCAAGTGTCGCCTTGCCATAGGTTCTGTTAAACACAAGGATGTCTCTGAATCGATTCTAGCCTGTCGGGATGTAGGGACCTCTCAAGCTCATGCCACAGCTCTCGCTGAGGCACTGGATGCTCACCAGCCAAAGGCTGAGATGGGCAAAGGTAAATGTTGGGCCTGTGGAGGACAGGGTTATTGGTCTCGCACCTGCCCTAACAAGATCTGACAGATGGACGTTACTCACTTCCCTTCCTTTGGCAAGCTCAAATATATCCATTGTATTATTGACACCTGTTGTTAATGCAAGGGTGAGGCTATGCTTGTGTCTTTCCAGATAATGTTCTAGCCCCCATTTAGATCCCAGGTCAAAACATTAGAGTTGCCTATGATGAAAAGCCTCCCTCCACAACCACTAACCCTGAAGATGGCAGCCCTGACCCTGGAGGAAGCGACACACCTCTCAAACACTAAGAGACCAACCCAACGTTGCAGACAATAAAAGGCACCAACCTGAGGAGACCTTAAACATCTCACTCTGCAAACAGAGACATTAGCTAAGCTAAGTCCTCAATCTAGAGAAAAACCTTTGTCTATGTTAAATTCTGTCTCCCATTTACAACAATCCCTGTCTTCACTGGCTGAGATGGTTTTACAAAACAGGAGAGGCCTTGATCTCATACTCCTCCAACAAGGGGGGTTATGTGTAGCCTTGGGAGAAAAATGTTTCTATACTAACAATTCTAAAATTATATATATAAAAAAAAATCACTCGATGGAGTCAAAAAAGACTCTTGAAACAAGAGAGACTGAGACATCAGTCTCAAGAATGGTATGAATCTCTGTTTTCTATCTCCCCTTGGCTTACCATGCTCCTGTCTGGCTTAGCTGTTCCCCTTATTATACTAACTCTTCTCCTGATTTTTGGACACTGCATTGTTAAGGGTCTTGATAATTTTGTTAAAACTCGTATTTCTCTGCTTCAGTTAGCTGTTGCCCCACCTCCAGATCTTGCCAGGCATGTCTCTGAAAGCAAGGACCCACTGTTCCCTGCCCTTACCAACCTATAATTGGCCTACGATAGGTTTCAACAAATTCTTGACCCCTGAGGAGGCCTTTAAACAAGCCAATGCTGGGTGTACTGCCTCTCCCTCTGCCAAACCAAACAGGGGACCCACCCTTCGAGTGCTGGTAGTCAATGACAGGTAAGATCCTGAGAGATGGGAAAACCTAAGACAGCCACAGTCCATTATGCTGGGTGACCCTTGAGGTGAGGAAAACAATGCTGAGACAAAGAATCTCGACTCCCACTGGTTGGCATGGAGTTGGCACAACCTGCTTTTAAGAAAGCTCGCCATCTTGAGGGAGGGGGCTCTTGATTCAATGACCCCCTGAGCCATTCTACTTTTCCTTGATGTATGTGGACTGATATCAATATGCTATATACCTCACCTTTAAAAATAAAAAAAAGGTGGTGATGTGGGAGACAGACTTGAGCCTAGGGTGATATTGCAACTGTCAGGGTCACGTGGTTTCCAGGCTCTGTAATCTGAAACCCAGTATGCTAATGAGGCATCCTACCCTCTATTCTGTGATAGCACATTAGGTCTGTTATGTTAATAAGGTATCCTACTTGCTGTACTGTGATTGGACCACTACCCCTATATAAGCTTGTGCCTTCCTACAATAAAGCAGACCTGTGTCACTGAACCTGGTCTCCTGTGTCTGAATGCAGCTCCGCTGACACAGTCTTCTCACCAGCCTTAGGGTCTGGGACCGGGCATAAGCAGCGATGACAGGAGGCAGCACAGGGCAAGCAGAAGAGGTGACTCAGCCCCAGGTTAGCAGAAGAGCAGCCTCAGCCCAGGGCAAGTGGAGGAGCAGCCTTGATGCCCATGAGAATGAAGGAGCAGCACCCACGAAAACGGAGGAGCGGCCACCACTGGCAGTGACCACAGAGGTATACACCAGCACTTGTAAGGCTATTATAGGAGGTTATTTGTTTGAAGCCAGCATGTGCTAAAATATAAACTTCTGCAAAGGAATGAATGAATGAATGAACATATTGATTAATTAAATAGAAAATAAATACAGCATTCAAGTTTTTTTTCTCTTTTTTCTCATGTCCTCAACAACATTACTTTTTTCTGTCCTTTGTTTTCAATGAAGAATAATTGCTGTAATAACCACTTCTTGTAGGATGTCATATCTAGATTCTCCTATTGAAACCTGGGGTCATGAGCTTTATTACTCTTTTCATTCATAAATATAGTGTTACATAACTTTGTTATGCACATTTCACAGAATTTCATGTGATTTAATTCATTATCCTCAAAATATTTTAAATTTTACTTTGTTCTTTGAAATTTGAATATTAGCCAATTCTTCTTAATATTAATTTAAAGACATTTGTGGACTCAATATTCACTGCCTTGCTTCCTAATACCATATTGGACACAATTGTTATCATTTAAACTTTCTGAATTTATTTATACTGCTTTGTGGTGATGCATTTGTAGAGAATCTTTGATTTTTCTTGAAATTTGACAGGTTCTCTTTTTATTTCTTATTAATTAAATTTCTTCTTTGACAATTTTATGCATCCTGTTTAATAATACTTCTATGCTTTCCTAATCACCATTCAACTTCTGTCAAGTCCCATTTTTGCTTCAAATCCCTTTTCATATTTCTATTTCCTTTGTTTTATGTTTCCCTGAGTTTAACCACAGCCATCTATGTGAACATGGTTTTGAAACTGTCAATTGCAGCCTATCAGGCTCACCAGTGCGTGTGCAAATGAAAACAAATATTCTTAACTTTCTTCTCATAATCAAATTATAGTTTGGAAGGCTAGATTTGGGTTATGAGTGCTTACCCATCCATAACTGAGTGTTTATATTGACAGGATGAATATTATCCAGGCCAAATCCAGGCGACAATAGACACTGTGAGTTCATTATTGTAATGGGTTCTCTTGCCACTCTTCATGGTTACCCTCCAGAAATAGATGATGAAATGATTTGCTGGCAAATGACACAGCTTGATTGCAAGACATAAAAGAATGAAGCTGGAACTGGACTGAAAACTTCCTCCCTTGTGCCTACTTTTAATAATAATATGCAGGGATCTGAGGGAGATACGGGTCTTATTATTAACCCTACAGACTACAATACCAATATACAGAGTACTAGTAGTACAACTATTACTGGGGGTAACTATGTGCTCTACGTTACAATTTGAGTTCTTCACAGGAAAGAACCCATGGTTGATACTATAAATCCAGTAAAAACTCTATGCCTGGATTTTCAGATGCATCACCGTGTGTGTGTGTGTGTGAGGGGGGGCTTATGTTTATAAATGCAAATTCTATTCTCAGTCTTAAGCAATTGAGTCCGCCTTCACAGTGAATGAATTTGAATGCAGAGTCATGGCTGGTCCACGTGTTGAGGATCAGTGACTTTGAATGCTCAGTTCTAACCTATATCTCCTCTATGTATCAACTTGTCAAAGACTCAGAGAGAATTGTGCAGGAAGAAGCAGAAAGAACGCAAGAGGCTGAAGATAAAAAAGTGCTATGAAATCACATGCTATTTGAGATCAAATAAATCAAATTAATTAACATTATTCTACAAGTTTCCTGTGAATTTACATGGATTTTTGATAGTCTCTCTGGGAAAGTAGCATGTTAAGACACAGTATATTCTAAGGGGAGGTAAAATATTTCATTACACCAGTAAGCTCCTTATAACTCAGGAGGTAAACAATAGCTTCAGGAAGTCATTGAGAATGACCAGATTTAGTTGAGTTCTCTCTCCGTAAGTGTATATAAGCAGTAATGATTGCTGAAAGAGGCCCTCAGACAATCTGAACTTCATAGAAGTAGCTCAGAACAGCTGAGCCCCCTACAAGAAGCAGAGAGACTGGTCAAACTGTCTAGAAGTGGCTCAGAACATCCATGCTGCCAAATGGGGACAGTCTCCAATCATTTGAGATGATTGTAAGTTTTAAGTTTCCAAATTTCATGACTTATCACTCATGCATGGTTGGGCCTTTGGCGATGCAGCTGTCTTTAACTCATTTCTGCTCATGTAACACCTACCAACTCTCCTCTATCTATCCCTTATGAAACCCATTGATTCTCAAAGTTGAGCTTTGAAGGTATCCTTAATTTGGTCTGTTGTTGTTTCCCTGTCTTGGGTGAATAGATATTTCCTCATGTTTTCCATAAATAGTATCATGCAACAATATTTAATGTGGCCATATTTTGATTATGTCTTCTTATATCTTCTAGACTTCACTTCAAAAATAATACAGTGGACACCAAATGCATTAAATATTTCTTATGCTGCATGTCTCCATGTTCTTTCCTTGATCTCACAATCTGACTTTATTTTTGTTGGCATGAGTAGTGTGAGAAGGATATGTCCCTATCTGATTTACTGTCTCTTTACACTCACATTCTCTCAAGAACCTTTGATTTTTATTAATGTTTTTCATCCAATGGGAAGTTTGATGCCATTACTTATTTAAATATGCTTATTACTCTTCAATGTGCTCTTCTCTCTAATGCACCATTATTTGTGTGTTGGTATACTTGCTGCTATCTGTGAATATTCTAGTTTTAGTTATTCAAATCATATATATGCATACACACACCAACACACACACATGTGCCTGTGTGTGTGTGTGTGTGTGTGTGTGTGTGTGTTGTGTATAGAGTGCTTACCAGAACTGGTAGACTTGCCTTATTGATGAAGACAGGTCACACTTTGGATGTAGGACTTTGGACAATCCAATTGGAACTTTCCTGGAATCCTCCTCCATGAAGACTAGTTCTCATGGTATCTGAGGATACTATATACCTTTCAAGATAGAAAAAGAACCAGTAGTCTTGTCCAGCTGCAAAACCTAATAAACAACAACGACTGGTCCTGCAAACTGTCTTGAACATTTGCTCTTTATATTTAATAGCAACACTAATTTTCAGCATTCATCAGTTGTTGAACTTCATACAATATGTACATGCAAAGTGTTTATAAAAACAGTTAATAATGATGACACTTTAGGGATATTTGTTTACATAAATATTTGCTAAAGCATTGACATTTTTGTATGATATAAGGCCTACATTAATTTTAACCATGATAATTTGACATTGTCCTTGCAG